CCCTATGGGACAGCTTTCCTATGGGACAGCAGCCCTACAGGACACCAGCCCTATGAGACAGCAGCCCTATGGGACAGCTTTCCTATGGGACAGCAGCCCTATGGGACAGCTTTCCTACGAGACAGCAGCCCTATGGGACAGCGGCCCTATGGGACAGCAGCCCTATGGGACAGCAGCCCTATGGGACAGCAGCCCTATGGGACAGCGGCCCTATGGGACAGCTTTCCTATGAGACAGCGGCCCTATGGGACAGCAGCCCTACAGGACAGCAGTCCTATGGGACACCTGGACCCTAACCCTGAGGCCATCATTCAGACTGACTTCCTAGAGGATCTAGTGGTGAATCCCTGCAGGATGGACCATGGTTACCTTTGACTAGGCCGAACTGTCCGATGTGGTAGCCGTGGTCTGAGGTGTAGAGGATGTAGGTGTTCTCCAGCTCACCCGTCTCCACCAGCATGTCGTAAAGCTGCAGAAACAAACAGGTTTTTCTCCATCTGCTCCACATGCAGATGTTTCCCCTCCAGCATCATCTTTACCTTCTCCATGCTGTCGTCTACAGACAGCAGCGTCTGCAGCCGCTTCCTCTGCAGCATGTTGGTGAACTCCATGTGGATGGGCTTCATGGGGCCAGTGTAACGCATGATCCAGTGCTTGTCCATGTTTGGAGCATAGTTATAACTGGGAGTTCTGGTCAGACAGGTGAAGGAGAGAAAATACGATATGCTCCTGTCATCAGCCAATCAAACACCAGCATTCCAAGGCACAAAGAAAAACTGATGTTCTTAAACACAAACATGCTGACTGTTGAAATACGTCTCATAAATAAAAACCTCTCCGTTTCTGAGGAGACTTCAGCGGGGGACAGAGTGACCAAACCCGACCCAGTGACTGTATGCTTCCCCCGCCTGCCTTACCGGGCAGCACAGGGCTGCCGTTTTCCAGGCTACCGTCACCGGGTCGCCGGGGTTCCCAGAGCAGCCCCCCGGCGGAACCGAGCACCCCAGCAGAACCGAGCCCTCAGCCCAGAGCTGAGGGCTCGGTTCTGCTGCACTGCAGTCGACCAAAATCCCAGACGATTTTGAAATTCCCCCCGGACATTTTTTTAGGTCTGTAAAGTAGGACATGTCCGGGAAAAAGGGGACGTCTGGTCACCCTACCATATCAACAATCTGATGTTTCAGTGAGTGAGTGCTTGTTGCTATGATCCGTCTTTGCTCAGCAACCTTAAGGACCAGCACCTAATACCCTATAGAGTAATTCTATGACCCTTTAAGGCCGTTAAAACATTTTCTTTGAACTACTGCAGAAAGTTAAAGGTGCTAGAAAAGAAATAACTGGATGGACTATTTCTTTATTTGGTTATTTTAAATGTCGGTCTTTTACTGTCTGAGTGCAGCAGGGTGCAGCAGGTGGATGGAAACCTGTCGCATGTAGGTTTTTGGGGAGGGGGTCGTTACTGGAGGGCCCCACCTTGTTAATGACGTCCCCCACCCCAATTTTATTTTGCATTTTAGACACTTCAATCTACAACATTTTCACAACACACATCTATGTAGGGCATTGCTGGGGGGGTCAGGGGCACCCAGGGGTGGGGTTTATTTCATGGGCCTCACTACGGTTGGCTCCCCCCATTCTCTCTCGCATTTAGACATTGAGGGTTCTGGGTTGTCAATTGGGGGGGTGCGCTGGCACCGCCTGTACTCTGAAGGGGGGGTTGACTGTGCTGGACACCCCCTTTTGGTACTCCCAGTTTTAATGACACCTGAGAGCAACACCTAACAACACCCCATTTGAGCGGAGGGGGGATCGGGGTCTTCTCACACCCCTGTTCTCTGGCTGCCCCCGGAGTCTGGGGCTGGGGATTATTGGATGTGAGTGTTATGTGTAATTATACATCCATATTTTTTTTTTTCGCCAAGTGCGGAGCCCATTCGCCCCGTCTGCGGCTCCCGGGGGCTCCGGCATTGGGGTGGCTGAGGAGCTTCATCTGGGCTGTCTCTCCTCCTCCCTCTGGTGGGGGTCTGATTCCCTGGGCTGGCCCCTCCTTGGTGCCTTTGCCCTTGGGGAATTTTTGGGCGTCTGGGGCTTTGGGTCTCCCAGCGCTGGACTCTGCTCTGCTCTGGGGGGGGGCGCCTCTTCAGCTCTGCACAACCACTATTGAGCATTTTCACTATTGCACTTTCACAAACAAGTACAGGTGCTTAGTTCCAGGTACTCAGAGATTCACTTCCACACAGAAGGCCTGTATTCTGATCTTCAGGTAACACAGAGTACATGTCAGACTAAATATTCTGTAAAAATTCAAAAAATATCCACTGGACTTGGTTTTCAAGGTTTGAAGACGTTTCTCTTCCTCTCCAGGAAGCTTTCTCCATTCTAATGTCTGGATCCGCAGTGAGTTTGAGTCTTTATAGACAAAGCCTTCTATCGCTTGGAAACATGCAAATGGAAACCGATGAATGGGTCGTTTAGTTCCATTGTTAGCCTGTAATATCTGAGACCGAACCTCATGATTCTGAAAGTCATCGTTAAAGGGGGGGGGATTGCCGTTATGGGGGGGATTGTCTCCTGTATTACCTGAAACCTGTCTATGATTGATAAGAGTCTGTCGTTAAGGAGGTATTGTTCACTGGCTGGAGCGGGTAGGTCCCTCGTTCCTCTGTAATGAGGTGGGGGGTGGGGGGTGGTGGTGATATCTGGAAGGGCGAAACGTCTTCATATCTTGGAAACCAAGTCCAGTGGATATTTTTTGAATTTCTACGGAATGACTATGACCTGGATGACTGAGAACCTTCATCAGCATATGTCAGATTAAATAATACTACTTATACTTCAGCGATAGAATCTAGGTGTTGATTTATTGTATGTCTCCTTCCATGTCTGTTAGTTGTTCTGTTCTTTTTCCATCTCTTTGCAGGTGATGAAGCAGACTGAAGATGTTTTATCATTATCTCCATTTTATCTCCCCTTACTTTCATTTTTTCTCCTGTTTTTCCTTTCCTGCTCTACTTACATTTCAGTGTCCATATAATCTGTAAAACTCCCTGCATGATTATAATAAAGCAATTTATATGCATGAATCAAGCAGAACACTATGGCGATAGCCGTACTGCTCCACTGGTGACAGCTGGGCTCTTTCTGGCATCAAGACAATTATTCTTATCGCCAGACGGGACACTTTAAATAAAAAAAGAAACCGTCGCATCAGATGGAGACGGCTCGGCTGATAAAGGGTTAAACTGAACTGATTTAAAGTGACGTCTAGAGCTCTGATACTAGACTAACTCTGAGTTTAGAGCCAGCAACCAGACAGCTAATCAGGAAAACAGTCCGTCGTCAATATGTGAATCAGTCAGTCAGTTACTAGATCAGTCA